GGGGCGGGGTAAAACGAATAAAAACCTCTCAGCTACAGAACCCAAAGACATCACTTCCCTCCGCATTCACAGCATTTCTCAGCAGTCCCCGGACAGCCATCCCCACAGGGATGCAGCCTCTGCCTCACTTCCCCTCTGGCCCCATGGGCTGCTGGTCAACCTCGGGATCTACCAGAGACGAGGCGAACGCCGACTGCACAATCTGAAACCCGAAGGACTCGAGGAGAGACATGTTCTGCTGGGGAGAGAAAGGTGAGCCGAGGGCGGGGCCCAGGTCCCCCAGGGGGCCCCCGAGAGCCCGGACATGCACCTTCTGGATGTGTTTGTTCAAGTAGGACTTGGAACGGAAGAAGCTCCCGCATTCGGGGCAGGGGTACTTCTTCTCCCCGTCGGACTCCATTTTGTTTTTGGGGACCGCCATGTCGCAGGAGAAAGAGCCGTTGGTGTTCTGCTTCTCCGGCGTCTTCAGGTCGCTGGCATCCGAGAGGTCACCGTAGGAGTCGGAGCTCTCAATCGGATCCTGATGTGAGCATTTCTGGCCTTCTAGGAGAAAACAGAACACAGAGGCGAGATGAGGCCAGGCTCTGGAGCAGGCCCCTCCTGGAGGGGCTGTGAGGGACCAGCTCACAGGCCTGTGGAGGGCGGTCGGCAGCCATCCACGGTCCTGGCAGAACCCACCGAGGTGCGGCTGGTCAGCCTGGGGGTCTGACCACCTACGGGGCTCGTGAGACAGCAGGGCCCTGGGCTGCCAGCCTCCCTCGCTGAGGACTCTTCATGCAGGTGCGCACGTATCGCTCATCATCATCTCAGCCTGCTCCAAGAAAGGGGGTTCAGAGACGGGACCTCCACTGCTTCTCCCCAGAACAACTCAAAGACCCCCAACTCCTAGGCCCTGTCTTGGGTGCCTCTGAAGGTCAAACGGCTGTTCTGATGCTGCTGGACAGGGATGTCAGTGGCCTCACCTCTGCACCAGACTAGCTGCACCCTAGCAAGGCAGAACCAGAGCCGGGGATCCTCAAGTCAGCAGACACCAAGATGGCGGAGACAGAAGCCAGTCCTTTCCCCAGGGCTGCAAACACAAGCCTGCCCTCACCGCCTGCCTTCTGCCGAAACCTTTCCTGGCCAAGTGGCCAAAGCACAGAGACTAAAGCAACTCTGAACAACTCAGCTGGCAGGTTGTCCCACACAGAGCCCAGGACAAGCTGGACCGTCAGACAACTCTCACTGCTCTGCCTTGCCCGGCCCACAGTGGAGTCCTCCACCAATCAGCAGCTTCCTGCCTGGGTTCAGAGAGCCATGCCGGTTAGGGAGGTCTGTGATGGGAGCGTGGAGCATGCCATCTCTGCCATCCACCAAGCCCCTGGCATTATCCCCAAGGCAACCACAACTTAAAAAGACCACAAAACAACCGGAATCAACGAGTGAAGGTAGGGCTGAGGGAGCTCTGTGCAAACCAACTCGGAGTCAGAGGCAGTCAGGTAGTTCACTTATCGCCATGCATCTCACAGACACAGCCAGAGGCCCTATGGAAAGGGCGCTCACAGCAACCGGTCACACCTACGAAGGGGGAAGCCAGCCCTGGGCTGCCCCTGCCCAGCAGGATCAAAGGAGAAAGCGTTCAGCTACAGCTCCACACCACCCTTCCAGGGCCACAGGCAACAGACAGGCCCACAGTAACTCATCATGCAGGGCTCCTCCTCCTGCCCTGGGCTGGGACATGTTGCGCGGGGCTCCAGACAGCGGGCCTGGCCAGGAGCAAGGGAGGAGGGCTGGGGAAGAGGAGGCGGGGGCTGGATCCTGGCAGGGCCCTAAAGCCTCACTCCCTGCCCTGGAGTGAGCTACCCACTGTGACTCTGTCCTGGAGGCCACTGCCACTCAGCCTCCTTGAGGCGGCCAGCAAGCCGGCAGCCTTCCCGCCTCCCCACACCCGGCCCAGCGCCCCCACAACACAGTCTGCGCAGAGAAGCAAAGTGCAGAGCAAGGGGTCGCTTGCCTTTGTTGCCATAGGTCCTGGCGCAGTGGAACGCTGCTCCCCCATTCGGTATGGGCTCCTGGTGCCTGGAGACCTGGGGAAGGGGAACACCGTGGTGGGTTTTAACATGGACCTTTAAGTAGGAGGCAGAGGAGAAACCTAAACAAGACAAAAGGAGATGAGATCCCGCGGCCAGCACCAAGACACCTCTCTGCTTCCCCCACGCCTCTCCGCTGGCCGCTCTGGCCAGCATTCCCAGGTCAGCTGCACCTAGAAGGGGGCCCGCCTTGGCTCAAAAACAGCTGCAACCACAGGAGCCACCTGGCTCAGGAAGAAGGATGGCACTGTCCTCGAATGGGTTCCTCTGCAGAGCCCACTCTGCCAGGCTGCGGTGGAGGGCCCAGGCCAGCTGCCTGGACAGACGGATGGTCAGATCCTGCTCCGGCCGGGCCAAAGGCCAAACACCTCTAGGCTTGCTTGGCCCTCAGTAAGGAGTGGTTTGAGTGGTCCCAGAGCCCGTCAGCTGCAGGGACCACAGCTAGAAACGGAGTCAGAAAAGCATATGGGGCTCCAGGGCAGCCATGGGCCGCCAGCCAACAGAACACTCGCTAACACTTGTAAAGGCAAACGGTACCACAAATCAGATGGAGGCCAGATGAAATCCCAAAGGACTGCCTCCAGGAGCACTCCTGCTTCTATTTCTTAGGACATGTTCTAGGTTCCTACGTTTTCCACCTTCAGAATAACTGGATTTAGTAACTGTTCATAGACTTTTCGAAGAAAAATAGGAAGTCACGTTAAAGGAGTGTAGTCATCTCTCATTCATGGTGGTCTTGTGGTTCACTTTGGGAGCATCCATTGGGTTCACTTAAGGAAAAAACAGGGATGATCTTTGCCTTTATTTTGGGGAAGGGACGGTCCAGCCATCGTGGGGCCACTCCAGCCCAACCCAGATGCTCCAGTCAGTTTGCGCTGTGTGATATCTCAGGCTGGGAAGAGTAGATCTTGGGCCAACTTCCACACCACCCACAAGCCTGAGGATATGGAACCAGGTGGGCAGGGTTTCGCAGGAAGAAGCTGTGTCATCGAGCCCCATTCGTGGCCAAGGATCAGCAAGTGCCTTCAGCAGGAAGCGAAGCTTTTTAGCATAAGGCCCACGTGGAGTGCCAGTGCCTCGATGATGTCCTTTCATTCACTCAGACCGGCTGACATGTTCTCAGGTACTTTCATTCCCCTTTAAACTTACAGGGTAACAATGGGATCCATGACTAACAGGTCAGAGGCTGGAAGTACTGTGTAATGTCTGCACAAGGCTCACTTTAAAAAGTCTGAATTGGCATGGCCTTTGGAACAATAGTAAAAGTTACCATGAGCTTCCTCACTCCCAAACTCCCAGGGTCCTTCCTTTCCCTCGAGAACTTGTTTACTAAGCCCATTTCTTCTAGGAATTACTTTTTCTTTTTCTTTTTTTTTTTTTTTTAGAAATTACTTTTTCTATCGGAGTAATTTACCCAGTAAATGTTCTCTTGCCAAAAAAGAAGTTCACCTTCAGCAAGTGGTGATGGTGTGCCAGGGCCCAGCACATTGCATGCAGTATTTTGTAGTATTCCCCCAGCCACCCTATGAGCTGAGAATTATTATACCTATTTTATAGATTACAAAATAAGGGGCTTGGTGAGGTTAAGCAACTTGCAGTCACAGGTACAGCTACCAAATGGCAGAGCCTGGACTCCAACCCCAGGGCCATGTGGTCCTTAACCACTGGGCAGACTCTTTTTTTGTTTGTTTTTAATATATTTTTATTGATTTCAGAGAGGAAGGGAGAGGGAGATAGAAACATCAATGATGAGAGAGAATCATTGATCGGCTGCCTCCTGCACACCTCACGCTGGGGATCAAGCCTGCAACTCAGGAATCGAACCGTGACCTCCTGGTTCATAGGTCAATGCTCAACCACTGAGCCATACCGGCTGGGTGGGGCAGACTCTTGTTAATGGTTCCTGTGTCTTGGCCCTGGCCCTAGAAACATCCCTTGGACTTTTGCAATCGGTTTCGTGATCACCATTTACACTCATGTATCTCTCTTCCATTAGAATGGAAGCCGTTGACGTGTGGGAAGCTTATTTAACAAACACTCCCCTGACAACAGTGCTTGGTGGCTCTGGAGGAAATGGGGGATTGAGTGAAGGTTCCTTCCTTTCCTGACACAGCTCCTTCACAGACCCACTTGGGCCAGAGGCCGGTGTCCTGCCCTGCCTGGCAGAGCGAGCTGTCCTGTGCTGTGACGAGGGGTCTGCCTGGGGCCAGTTACAGGGCAGACTGACTTATCTTATGAACATTCCTGAGAGGAAGGGTGCAGTCAGGAATGAGTCGAAGAGGCTCATGGGAAAGAGGATCTCAGCCCCCTACTCAGCACAGCGCAGATATCAGGGACTTTCTGATGATACGATGCCGCCACTGTAGAAGGGAAATTTTTTCTTTGTTTTTCATCCCTGGTGAGGCCTCTGCAGTGGTGTGGTGTCCCCAGGCAGGTCCACGGCAATAAAAGGGGAGGGGAAAGGAAGGAAGGGGCACCAGGAATTAGTACCAGGGGAATCCAGCAGATGCTCAATGAGAACTTGTGGCAAAAAAAGGGGATGGGAAAGGAAGGAAGGGGCACCAGGAATTAGTATCGTTACTCCTTCTGGAAAGCGCTATGTACCAGGGGAATCCAGCAGATGCTCAATGAGAACTTGCTTATTTTTCCTGAAAAACGGGCTGAGTAACACATGGCTGGGTCCTCTTGACTCTACCCGGCTGCAGACAGCACTATCTATAGCAGAACCACATGGCAGGGTGGGAGGAGTGGATCTACAGCTGCCGCGTGAAGCCCAGAATTTAAACACAGAGCAACTCAGCAGCCAACTGTTGAGCTAAAACAGAAGCTGAGTTTCTGAGAAGAAAACATCTTTTAAGTCAGAAACATTTAGTTGGAATTCTGAACTCACCTGCCCATTCACCCCTGATTAACCAAGAACCAACAAGGCGGCTGGATCCAGGCACCAGAACGATGGAGACACTGAGCACACACGTGACTCCACTAGAACCACCAAGCCGCCCTCCCTCGCATTCTAGAGATGAAGCTTTTATTGCCAAGGGCTACCCTGCTCCTCCACTGTGTTTTCTCGTCTGTTGCGCTGCATTTCACACTCCAGAAGCAAATCCTTTCTTTGCAAGTTTCCCATCCACGCAGGGGTCGCTTTCTCCTTGTCCAAACCTTGGTGAGGCCACGCTCAACTGAGCGGTGCCAGATGGGGGCACTAGTTGGTTTGTGTCAGCTCAGAGAATGGCAGGCCGTCTGTGCCCAAGTCTGGCATTGGCGACAACTTGTACACCCACCTCTGGGAAGAAGACTTCCTCTACCTTTTAAGCAGTGATGTTGGAGACCAGATGTTGTCTCTGTCAGAGGCACATTCTCAATAAGCAACCCCTCTTCCTCACATTGGTACATACGCATATCCACAAAGACCCTGCTACAGAAATTTTAAAGGAAAGGTAGAAAACTATGGTGACCTACTGGATCCTTTTCTCCCTCCCACTGATCAACTTAACTGATATCCTCAACTTGAAAATGAGGGGACAAACTTTTCTCACCATCTTCCCACTACAAATTATCTCCCTCTCCAGAAGGTCTGACCCTCATCTTGATAGGTCTCTAGGACAAAGACAAGGTCATCTGCTCAAGTGTGGGGCTAGAGCAGCCAGGCTGCCTCTAATCTCTCCATCCTTCACAGGCAAAGACTGAAAATGGCAGGTCCATTAGTAGTTAAGTTGACTGCTTACGACTTGTTGGGCCTTGGCAAGTGTGGTGCAGCTAGTGGGAGCACTGTCCCATGCTCCAAGGGTTGCGGGTTCGATCCCTGGTTAGGACGCATGTGGGAGGCAACCAATTGAACCTTCTCTCTCTTTCTCTCTCTCTCCCTCCCTCCCTCCCCCCGACTCTCTCTGGAATCAATTAAAAAAAAAAGACTTGTTGGGATTGAAGGATGTCAGAGGGCATTTGGAAATTCATTTGATCCAACCTCAACCATCTGACCAGCTGGCTAGACATTAGCCTTTGCTCAAACCTTTGTAGAGTTAAGAACATCCACTTATTGGTTCAGCTCCTCCCCGAATTCACAGCCTTGGTGGCAGGTGGCGGGCAGGGCAAAAGATGACCCAGACTCTCTGCATTCTGATTCCAGTGCCTTGATGTCTTTGGTGGCATTTTCTTCCTGGAAAACCTGCCTTCCTCTTTGGTGGTCTTTCCTTTTTTTTTTTTTTCCCTGTTGGAGTCTCTTTCTTTTTCTGCCCAAGAAATGAATCCAGAGGTAGAATCCTGTTCCTTCTCTTCTCATAAAGTGAAATTCCCTTCTCTTCCTTCTGAGTACGCAGGGTAGGCTGGACTAGAGCCCTCTTTTATCTTCTTAGAAGAATGGGACTTCCTGCTCTGACTCAGACCCAAAGCTGTTTAGCTTATGATCCAGATGTAGTGTTGTCTTCTCTGAGATAAGGTGGCCTCTGCTTTTACTCTTCCGTTGTCTCCATCCCAGTCATGGAGCCTGCGGGCTGCTGCCCAAGGCCTTTCCCAGCCCCAGGAAAAACAATTCCCCACGGACAATAGTTGTTGGCTTTGCCACATCAGCCCTCTTGTAACTGGGCCAACTTGCCCTGCTGTTCCCTGCTGCTCTCAGCTCTTCTTTCCTCGGGAGCTGAGCCCCCACGGGCTGTGGCTCTGGATCTCCCACCAGTCCTCACCCCACTCTGCAATCCGGGCGAGGCTTTCTGGGTTTCCTCATTAGCATCTTTCTCCACTCCCGTTGGTTCCTGCTTCTGGGCTCTGACCGCAGTTCTGAGGCTGAGAACTGCAACCTTGAAAACTTGACAAAAGGCCAGAGGATGGCATGTGGTGGCAGGTTTAGCGTTATTTGGGGGTGCTGTTAGGAAGCCAGATTAGGATGAAACAAGACAGAAAACTTTCTAGAGCTGGGGCAGCCATGGTCAAGATGGTCAGCTACACCCCGATAATTCCCTGTATGCACAACCCCACCGCCTGCTACCCGGGGGAAATTCCTGCCAGAAGGGCTCTGTTGACATGTCAGAAAATAGGACAGATGCTTAAGCGGCTTTTATTACCACCTCCTGCAGGTTTCTTGGTGATGCAGACAGTGACACCCAGTGGCCTTCAGGCGAACCCCAAGTGTGCAGCAGGAATACCCAGCTGCTCAGCAGTCTCCCCCACCAGCGACCTCGGGGCACACAGAGACAGCACAGCACCCAGAGATTCCAGCCAAGGGCTGCAGGGATGTTTGTTTCGCTTCGTCCAAGCCAGGGTGTCAGCGCGTCTTTCCTAACAGTTACAAAGTGTAAGAACGGGGCCTCCCACGTGTGCAGTACCTTGTGGGGTTCAGTTAACTTCCATCTACTTTGTGTGTCGGGATCCTCACAACACCCCTGTGAGGTAGACAAGGGGGGGTGTCCTTACCCCATTTAAGAGATGAAGAAACTGACGTTTAGAGGAGGGAAGAGGGGTGAGGTGGAAGCGGCTGGGATTTAAACCCTAGGCCCCCCTGATTCCTGGTTCGGTACTCAATCCACTAAGCCACACCCAACACTTCCAGAAGCATCGAGACAAGGGTGTCCCAGGATACGGGACCTCCCAGCAGAGTCCACACCCGGCCAGAGCCAGCACACCGTGCAGAAGCATCCTCACACCCACTACCGGCAGCTGCCCAACCTCCTCCAGCAGAGACGTGGCGCCAGCCTCCTCCACTGACACTGCGCGTGCAAAACACAAACCTCAGCCCTTCCAACCGCTGACAGATAAGCCCTGGCAGAAGCTCAGTCCCAGGACAGGCCTGACTTCACCAACACAACACCCGGGCCAGAGCCAGAACCAGAGCCACCTCGGCCCACCTCAGCAGCAAGCGCGCTCCCCTGCTCAGAACACCTTCCACTCTCCTTTCTCGTCAAGGCCACAATCTACCTGGGTTTGGGCTTTCTTCTGATCATTTGTGCTACATACAGAGTTTCTTTTCTGATCCTTATCCATCGCTAGACTCAACTTCCTCCTTCCCTGGCTGCTGAGTTCCACATGCCAGGGAACCAGCCAGCCAAGCTCTCAAGCAGGAACCCTTTTTCTCCCCGCTGTGGGGTCTAGTGACTCTCTCACCAACATCAATACTTCCGTGGTCTCTCCAACTGCATCCATCCTGCCACCTGAGCAGCACATGTTCCGGGCCCAGCTTGGGAACAATACCCTTCCTGTTCCCACTTGCTGATCTCTTGGGAACTCCCATTCCAAACATCCTAAGCCTCTTGTGACGGAAGGGGTGGCAAGCAGCTAGCTGGGCGAGGACCGTCTATCACTCAGTGGGAAGGGCAGGCCGGCCGTGCGCAGGATGGAGTCTGAGGCGGGGTGGTCCGGAGCCCCCAGCCGCCCACACGAGCTCAGGCCCCGCCTCCGGAAGTGAGGGGACCGCAGGGAGATTACCTCGGTTACAGATGCTGCAGAAGTTGCTGGGCCCCTCGCTGTGCTTCTTCAGGTGGTCCGCCATGTACGCCGCCCGCAAGTACTTCCCGCACACCTGGCAGGGCACTTTGTCCTCGTGACAGGCCAGGTGGGAGCGCAGACGGTCTCGGGTGGCAAAGGAAGCGTTGCAGGTCTGCGGGCAGAAAGGAAAACGGGATGAGGGGAAAGCTGGCATGCCGCGCCTGACTCCTCACAAAACCACTTCTGGCCGACACATTCCACTCCTTGTACAGAGAGCTTTAGAACACAGCCTAGACCAGTGATGGCGAACCTATGACACGCGTGTCAGAGGTGACACGCGAACTCATTTTTTTGGTTGATTTTTCTTTGTTAAATGGCATTTAAATATATAAAATAAATATCAAAAATATAAGTCTTTGTTTTACTGTGGTTGCAAATATCAAAAAATTTCTATATGTGACACGGCACCAGAGTTAAGTAAGGGTTTTCAAAATGCTGACACGCCGAGCTCATCACTGGCCTAGGCTTTCTCTCCCACAGGCCAGCCCGCTACTCTGATTGCCCACACAGGACACTGGCGTTGGAATTCCTGGTTCCCGTGACTACCACAGCATGGCATACGATGCTCCCCTACAAAATGAAGACGAGGCATTTGTTCATTTGTAAACATCCATAATTGACATCAGTTGCATTGACTGTAAGGGAATTTACACAAGAGTTACTGGCATATAAACAGACAGTCTTCCTGTTCTCCATCCTGGGTTTCCCTAGTTGCTTTATACAAAGAATTCCATTTATTCCCTTTATTCAAAAGTGACTGTTCGTCTTGGCCACAGGGAAATGAAAAGGAAAGGCAGGACAAAGCCCATAGATTACTCCCATATCCTCGTGAGTCTGTATTGAAAAAGCAGCCCCTAACATGATAGTGTCAATGCCGCTAACAGGAGAAAGAGCAGAGAGAAGGCGGGCCAGAGGCTTTGGGAGCATTTGTGAAATGTTAAGTTGGGGAAGTGCTGGTAAGAACACGGAAGGTGATGCTACCCTACGTTGATTGGCACCCACTCCGTGCCAGGCGGGCACCACGCTTCGCTTTTTAGAGGCACTTATCTCACGCGGTCCATCCTTACAGCAGCCTTCCGGGGGAGGCTGTGTTATCACCTTCCAAGAGTGCGGTCACAGAAAGTTGTGCCGTGACCACCAACTCATGGCCAGGTCCCAGGGGCAGATGACTCAGGTGATAAGGGTCAGCACCCGCACCCTGGGAGGGCAGGCCCAAGCCCCGGGCATTTCCTGTGTCTGGAACCTGACTCGGTCTCAGTCCCTGATCTCCCCTCAGCACCCTTTCCTCAGCTGGGGCTTGCACGGGCCTTGGGGGCCACGGAATGTCAGGAAAGTCCTCAGGAGAGTTCAGTCCGGTGACTCTCCGGCTATTTTGATTCTATGGAAGTGTTCCCGGGGTCCTAGTCCAGTCTGACTCATTTCTCTGTGTATGTTTACTGTTGTAGAACTTCAAGAGAAAGCAACCTGCCCCTTTAAGTGCATTACAGATCGAACGTTAACCCACTGAAGACCTGCTACCCTGCTAACTTGCTCCTACTGTGTCTGTTCAACAGAAGCATATCCTGAGATCCTTAAGGTAAGTGAGCAGTGCAGTCATCACGTACACTCACCTATTTCCTTACTGCACAAGTACAGTTATCTATCTCCTTACTGTCCAACCAAAAGCTAGAAACAAACCCACGTGATACTGCGCAGGCCGAATGTCACGGCTGCTACCCTAATCCCCAGTGTCTGTGTGCATCAGGACAGGCCTTGCTGTTCTGTCATTATCTTTTAAGTAAACGTTACAAATCTGAACAGAACAATGTATACTAACAAAAGACCGCTTTTATTTGTTTTATATATTGAGTTTATTCGTTTGACAAATGAGGAAGCTGAGTTTAGAAAGTGATTTGCCCAAAGCACATTCGGCTACTAGAGAAAGCAGCGGTCTGAACACCCTGCCACGTCAGACCAGTACCCTACCGATCCCGCCGGCTGCCCCGGGGTCCCTGTCTTCCCTGATGTCCTGCGGGGCAGACGGAAGCCCTGAGAGGACACGGGACAGTTGGCCTGTGAGCCACCCGAGCCTGTGCTCTCACCATCTCTAGGCTCAGTAGAGGTCGCTTCTGGTCAGTGAAAGGTGCCGAGACTTTTTAACACCGTGTATTTGGTGGCCAGGGCTCCCCTGACAGGAAGAGGTGACAGGACTGTGCAGGGGAACTCGAACACTTAGGTGCCTCAGAAAGCATCATGGGTGTTTGGTCTCATGGCCACAGGTGGGCCCCGCCTCATTCCGGGACCGCTAGACCCAATTATAGGCCAGAGTGAGGGGCGAGAGAGACTGAATCTCCACCTGGCCCCCCGGCCTGTGAACCAGAGCAAGGGCTGCTGTCAACACCCTCTGGAGGGTGCACCTGTCGATTTACCCACAGTCACCTACCCACCACCCCTGCAATGATGAGAGGCCGTGTGGCCTGTGCCTCAGAACTCAAAGGAACCGCACATGGCCCAGGTGTGAGAACGTGCAGCTGAAAGCGCGCATTCAGGACGGTCGCCCGAGTTCCCCGAGAGAGGGTGCCACTAGACGGATATGAAAGAGATGCCTTGTTTCTCTCGCCAGCCTTCTTTTGGGACCTGTCCCTTAAAGCACTGCCTGTCATACTTTGCTGGCTAAAGATAATGGACCGCCAAACCTCAATTATCCACAAGTGGATTATCCATCTGGAGGATTAGCTAAGCAAAATTAAAATCTCAGACCAGGCCGACTCCCCCACCCATCCTCCATTGATGATCTCTCCAGGAATGAAGGCTAACTTCAGCCTGGGCAAACATCATTAGGAATGTAAATCTGCTGCTGAGAAAAAGACACACAAGCACAACAAAAACTTTCACCGTGTGACAAAGCCAAACCGGAGCGATTGTTGGCTTTTCTGCGCCAGAGTTGACCCTTCTTGGCCGAGTCCCCAAAGTTTTCTGGGGGAATCTTGAAAGTGTGTGAGTCTGAGTCTACACCTGCCAGAAGTTCAGAGAACACAGGACATAAAGAGGCTGGTCACATGACCCAGGAGAGGAGGGACAGATGCCAGTGGCTGAGGGGAGACATATCAAAGAGGGGGTCACCCAGAACCTCCATGCGGGGGCAACTCCAGAGAAAGGCATTTCCCTTCCGGGAGACAGGGAGGAGAGGGACCCTGATGGGACAAGAGTGAGCCTGCAGTGAGCCACTGATTGCCGGTGGCGCTTGGAACGGCTGCCCTGCGCTCAGGCAGCCTGCTATTGCTAAGCACAAATGCCAGGTCCCAGCCCAGCCAACCTGAGCTTGGGTCACGTCTGTTCATCACCACTCCACACTGAGCCCCAGACATGCTCACTTCCCCACCCACCCCCAGGTTCTCCCTGTCCCAGACTTCCTAATGCTGTTCTTCCCAAGGGCGGAGCAGCTCAGAAAGAGAGCCCAATGGTCCCAGGAACTAATCACACCTGACCTCGGGCGGCTTTGAAGTTGGCCAGCCTCAGGGGATGTCCCAAGCAACCTCTCCACGGCCCTGGAGAAGTCTACGGGCAATGCATGGAGGCCCGGCATCAGAGGCCTTGCTGGCCCCCTTCTTCCGGGTGTCAGCTCCCTTATTCCCACCTCTAGCCATTCCTTCTCTAACAAGCTGCCCCTCCAGCCCAAGCCCGCCGCCCCCCCCCACTAGCTCCTGAGAAGTGGGGCCACTGGCAGCAATGTGAGATTTCTCAGCTGCTCTAGCCTCTCCACTTAGGCTGAGCTCCAAGGGGGAAATGTCCTAGCCCACGGCATTGAGAGATGCCGCCAGTTAAGGACTCTCAGGCCCAGCCCTGAGGCGACTTGTGTGTCACTGCCAACCTGAGGGTTCATGCCCTGACATTTGGCTAGCCCTTTCCCTCAAGCTGTGGCCCAGCCTTGGTAACTGGCTCTCCGTCCTCTGTGGCATCAGGAGGGGCTGCGAGGTACATGCCCAGCTTTGCCAGGGGCCCAAGGAACCAACTCCCAGAGAGCGATAGTCACCTCTGAGGCTTTTGGAATACACTCCATGCAAAACAGATGCCCCTGCTGGTTAACCAAGCCCAGGCACACCTGACGGGCCAGCCCCGCACATGAGAGCCAGCATGCCTTTACCTGCTGGGTCACCGGTAGGGGAGTTCTGGCTATGGCCTGGAGGCGGGGCCAGCAGGTCTGCGCGAGGGCTGGTTGAGAGGGCGTGGACACCCAGGGACAATGATGTCAGTGTTATGACACAAACCAAGGACAAAACACACAAAGCCTCAAATGTTAGAATTAAAACTTTTATCATCACTCCTGTTACCCCACGGAGCCCGTGGGGGCTAAAGGGCACACCAACAGGACCCGAGAGGGGGTGTCTACATACATCTGCTTTATCAGCCCCAAAGCCATATGCTGGGGTGACCCAATACAAAGCTACTGGTTAGTCTAGTTCCTGAGCAGACCTGCTAATAAACCTCGAAAACACAAAAGTCTAATTCACTAGCCAGAAATGAAAGCAGGACCTGTCTGAGGGGAAGGGAAGCGCAGGGCAGCGGGAGATGACCCAGCTGGAGTGGCACCAGCGTCTCCTCTGGAGGGGCATTCACTCCCAGGGTGGGGGGAGGGGTGGCCAGGCCCCATTCTAGAAGACTCCTGCCTTAGGGGAGGTGATGCCAGGGGAGGGGAAGCACTGAAGCCAGTGGCTTAGTTCCCAGGAATGCACCAACCTCCACCATCACCCAGGCAAGGAGGGACCCCCAGGGGGACCTGAGCCTGTGTGGGTGGGGACCAAGGAGCTCCTTGCTATCCCATCTGGGGTCCCTGAGCTGGGAAAGACTCCAGGCCACCCTGGGAGGAGCCAGGTGTGGTGGGTGGGAACCACTCTGCTGGCCTCTCCCAAAAGCAAGGGTCTCAGAGCAACCGCCGCTCAGAGCCGGTCCCTCCACCGAAAACCCTCTCGGGGAGGCCAGGCTAGCCCACAGGCCACTGGGGAAAGGCCCGGCTGCCCTCGGGGGCGGCCCAGCCCTGCCGCAGATATCCCGGAGGGGCTGGGCAGAAGAGAGCGTTGCTGGAGTGTGCTGGGCCCAGGTTTTCGAGGGCTGGGAAGGATTTTTTTAGAGAAAGGGAAAAGGCGGTGTCAGGAACGGAATGGGACGACCTCCACAAAGCAGGCTGGGCAAAGTCCCATGATGGCAGGTCGCTAGGAAGAGATTCCAGGGGCGGCAGGCCGCTGCTGCTCCCAACCCACACCTGGAAAAAGGGCAGAGAGTGCAGGTTACCCCCCCAGGCCACCGGGCTCGGCCCCACTGCCCGCTGGGCTCCTCCTACTCTGCCAGGCTCTCAGCACACTACCTGGGAGAGTCCGAATGTGCTCTGTGACGAGAAGATCAGAGACAGAGAGAAGGCAACCAGGCACAGATGGACCCCAGCAGCCCCACCCGGGTTAGCGTCCTCCGGGGAGGCCACCTCGCCTCGCTATGTGAACACCATCCGCGCTGGCCCCGGGGGCCCTTTGGCCTGCCTGCCACACGTCCACCCCTCACTGCAGGTCTCCCTGAGCCCTCCCTCCTTGCCACCAACAGGATGAAGAGAAGCAGGCTACCCCCCAGAGGTTGCAGTAAGCACCCCACAACTCGGCGCCCCCTCGGATGGCGGGGACTTGGCACCGGAGAGGGGAGGTAACCAAGGAGAAGAGAGAGGCGTGTTTTCCATCTACACAGGAATGCTCAGTGGCCAAGAGAGGACACTCAAGTTTCTGGGTGCCACAGGGCCCCTCGGTATTACTCAAGCAGACAAACCGAGGGTGAGAACCTCGCCCAGCCTTCCCTACCGACTGCTACGCAAAGAGCTCACTCACAGGAGAGGAAACCACCGTGCTCTCCAGTCCTCAGGAGGGGGAAACGGGTGCCAGTGCTTGGAGATCAGACCGCCCACCCTCTCCCCCCCTTGCCGACCTCAGGGGACTCCAACTTGGGTCAGGCTGCCTGACAGACAAGGGGAAGCGTTGCTGGCTGGACCGCCAGGAGCCCTTTCCAACCCCCCTCCCCATGTGGCCTCTGTACACTGCTGAGAACCAGAAGCCGGGCCCAGTGGGGTGCCAGTGCCCCCAGGGCAACACGTGTGCCATGTGGCCCACCATCCACAGAGCTGGCCAACACCAGGAAAGGAAAGCTAAGCAACACAGGAGACAGGGTGGGAACCAGGACCCAACAACCAGGAAGGAGGGGACGTCAGCAGTGGCGGGAGGGGGCCAGGGGGAAGAACAAAGAAGAGCAGACGGAGGGTGGAGGGACAGAGGAGGAGGTGTGCCAAGCGGTGGTCAGTCAGCGGCCCAGCACGCGCGTCAGCTGGCTCGTGGCCGGCCTGTGAGAACAGCAGCATTCTCTCGCAGCCCAGCGCTGCCCTGGCCCGACCCCTACCTGACACTTGTGAGGCCGCTCAGAAGTGTGCACCTGCTTGATATGTCCATTCAAGTGATCAGGCCTGGAAGAGAGAGAACCAAGACAGACTTTAAAATCAGACCTCAGAAAGGGGGGCTGCACTCTTGGCCAAACCCCCCAACCCTGCCCGAACCCTGATGGAGAGCACGCCCTTCCCCCCCCCCCCCCCCCCCCAGCATGACAAAGACAGCCTCACTACCCTGCTCTGGCTCCACAGGCCCAGGCCTCTCTGAAGGGAAGGGAAGTGAGTGTTTGTCTCTGACCTTGCCTACCCACCTCCCTCCCCCACAGAAGCTCAATGATTTCCAGGACTCTGAGGAGGTGGCTTTAGAATGAGACAAGCTGCCTTGCTGCAGCCTTTCCGGGAGGGGGTATGTGTGATTCATTGTCCAGACTAAAGCCCCTTAGAAACTCAGTATTCCCCTCCCCCAGCCTCTCCCGCCGTGGCAGCCAATGAATGCCACCCAGATGGAATTCAGTCCCCAGAGGCCAAGGGATGGAGCCTTAAGTCCCCAGCTGGGCTGGTAAGCCAGATGCCCGCCAGAGCAGGTGGGCAGGGGTTGCCTGACCGGTAAGACTGGTTCCTGACTGGGGCCCCTCTGAGGGAGTTCTCCATCCCTGGGTTCCACACACAAGGTCCTTAGTATCCAGGCAAGTTAAAACCAGCCTTTTATTCTGGATATTCTCTCCAGAGGAGGAACAAAACAACCCTCCGCTCCCAGACAAGTCCTCAGTTCCCTCTCAGAACCACTAAAAAGTGCATCTAAGAGCCATCCTGCCCCTTCCTCTATGTCCTGAGATCATAAAGGGGACCTGTGGGGTCAGCGAGGCTCGGGAGCCACCAGATCAGAGCTGATCAAAGATTTCAGTGTTAGGAAGAGACTCTGGGTGCCAAGCTGTGTGCCCAGGGGGCTGTGAGGGGCAAAGCTGGAGTTCACTGATCTATGATCGCCAGCGCTGTGATGTGCTGTGCTGTGTGCTGGGGGAGGTGGTGGCACAGCAGCGTCAGGAGTCTGACATACACTTGTTTCTGTTTCAGCGTCTCCCCCGGCAGCCATTCAAGCGGGGAAAGTCGCTGGAGGAGCCCAGCCTCCCGCCCCCAGAGGGGGCCCCACGCCTGGTGCCGGAAACACAAAGGGAGCCCAGGGAGAAGAATGGTGAGGCCGGGTGGCTGTGGCCTGAGGAATCCGGGCCCCTTCCCACCAGGCCCCAAGGAAGAGAGACAGTAGGGCATGCCTGGTGCCAGAGAACTTCCCTGGGGAAGAGAAAGCAGCTCCTTGGCCGCACCATCTCAAAAGCAGGGCCGTGAAAACACTCCCCAAACCAGGCAGGCCTCCGTAAGGTCAAGTGACCCCCACCCTCCCAGATCTGGGCAAGGAGCTACCCCATGGGTCAGAAATAGACAGGTCATGGGGGGAGGGTACCATTTCTCACCTGGAGAAGCCTTTCCCACAGCTCTGGCAGATGTAGGGCTTGCCCACAGACCCGTCGTGGGACCGCACATGGTAGGACATGCGATCTTTTCTCTTGAACCTCAGCCCACACACAGGGCAGGAATAGGGCTTCTCCCCCGAGTGGGAAAGCTTGTGCCGGTTGAGATGGTACACATCACGGAAGATCTTGCCGCAGATTTCACAGGCCACCTGCTTCCTGGTCCGGCTCCTCTTTCTGGGTCCATCCGGGTCCTCCGAGATGGGGAGCCCATTCTCACCCAGCCTGGGAGGAGGAAGGTCGATGTAGCCCAGCTGGAGGCTGGTGACACCATGCTGGGCCTCGTGCTGCCGGAGCCGGTTGGCATCAGTGAACACCTTCCCGCACAGGCCACAGGGAAGGATGCCTGCCTCCCTCAGGCCCCCTGGAGACCCGAACATTGAGTCCAGCAGGTTGGCCTTCCTTGGGCGGCCCCGGCCTCGTTTGCCAGTCAGGGGAGGGGCACTGGATGCCACATTGGGGAATGGGGAAGTCAGCAGTTGGGGGGACAGGGGTCCAGCCACCATGGGCAAGCGGTCCACCCCAGGTAACACAGGCAAGGAGGCTTGGCTGGCAATGGCCGCCCCAGCGGCCCGAGCTGCCTCCTCCTCGGGCTGCATGCTGCCTGCAATGCCATTGCTGTTGGCTGCCAAGGCTGCCCCGTTGGTCATGTCCAAAGGGAAGCCCAAGTCTGAGGTCCCAGGGGGACGAAAGAGCATGATGTCAGCCCGGGCAGGGGGCACCAGGATCTGCACATTGGACTGTTTGATGACTTCCTGGCAGATCTCAATGACCGACCTCATCAGCAGGAACTTGGCAGCCGTCATGAGCTCGGGGAAGCTCTCCAGGCGAACCACGATGCGAGAAGTGTAGGCGAAGTCCAGGATGTCCCCGAACACCTTGGAGCTGATGGTGTGCATCTCCAG